AAATTAAATATCAAAATCAACTTCAACACATTTAGATTTCAGTTCAATTAAATACAATCAGATATAATTAAATATATTTTTTCTACAATGAGACTGGTCACATTAAACCTCAGAGTTCGTCTCGGAGTTGATCTCTGGTTGAGTCTTTGAGCGCAGCTTTGTTGATGTTCACAGCTGCTCTGATGGCAGACTTCATGGACGTCTCGATCCAGCCATGAGGGAAGGCTGTGTGCTCTCCAGCGAAGTGCACCCTCCCCTCAGGTCTGAAGAGCTCCTGGGCGTACTCCAGGTGTTGGTACGGGGTGAACAAGGCGAAGGCCCCCAGGCTGTAAGGGTCCACGGTCCACCTCTTCACCAGCACACCGGTACACAGAGACCTGACGCGCTCTCCGTGGATCTGCACCAGATCTCGGAGGACCAGTTCTTTCAGGTCTTCGTCACTCGCTCCTTGGAAGAGYAGGGAGTCATCGGCCCAGGTGTAGGAGGCCAGGAGGACGCCAATGGTGTCGTTTCCTGGAAAACTGTGGCTCGGGTAGTAGATGTAACGAGAAGGCCCGTCGGTGATYCTCTTCCCTCCCTGGATGCCGTCACTGATCCAGAACTTCTCACTGAAGGTCAGGAGGATTTTAGTTGAGCTCTCATAGTGGACCGCCTGCATGGCCTTCATCTTTCTATGAGAGAGAGGCGGATCGACGTCTATGAAGAGCGCTGCTTTGGCTGTGGTGGTTATCAGGACGACGTCAGCATCGAGGCTTTTTAAAGAGGAGCTCTMGTCTGTCTCGTACCAAACAGTGACACCGTGATGTGAGCGCTGGATCCTTCTTACTGGAGAGTTCAGGAAGATGGAGACATCGAGCTCAGAAAGAAATGCTGTGGTGAGAAGATCCGTCCCTCCTGTTATTTCATCGTACCTTCAAAACGATAAATCAATATCTTCAGGGACATCATTCAAACGTTTGTTCTTTTTCTTGTGTAATTTTAAAATAATGTCTTCCTCTCTTTGTAAAGCAAACAATCCAAAACTTTAAAGTGCCTGTGACATCAAATTTTTGTAATATATACTGTATGAATGCATTTTTAGAAAGAGGACATTGATGAAATATTGCAAAAAAAAATTCATGTCACTGAGATGAACAGTCGTTGAGATATTTGCCTGTGAAGCAACAGGAAGTGATGTCAAAGGGGAATGTCTGCACGTAAACAGAGCATTGCTACAACAGCCAACAACCCAGACTGTAGAGAAGAATCTGATGTTTCTTAAGATTATTTTGAGTCACTACCAGAGAGACGAAGAAGAGTCAGAGTTCAAAAATATTATTTCAATAAACAAAGACCAGAGAGTTTTTTTGTTGAACTGTTCCCCTTTGATGTCACTTCCTGTTTCACTTTGGCTGAGCCAAGTTCAAAAGAAAATAGGCCAATTATGTGACAAAATGGGTTAAATCGTGTGTGTTATTCCAACTTTCTTAACTATAAAGATGTTTTTTGTTCTTTTGTTTTTTGACTTTTTGTATTTGAACAATATGCATGTCACAGGCACTTTAATTGTGGGGGTGAAAATTATGTATTTTCCAGGTACATAGTTTAATTCTATATCACAATCAAGTCACTATGTTTCCTTTAGTTATAAAATGTTCATATTAAAAATAAATCTAAACACCTTGAAATTGGCCTCTGTCTCTTTGAGAACCTCCTACCATTTCTGACACTCCCACTTCAGCATGCATTCACAAKAARGCTTTGAGGGAGGGGTGCTCTGTGMGGTGGGAGCTCAGCTGCAAACTGAGCTCCAGAGAGGAGCTTTGTACAAATGGGTGGAGCTTTGTACCAGCTCCACATGGCCACGGGTGATTCAAGGATTTCTCAAACATGCATGAATGAATCAAAGTGATACTTTGGGTTTGTTTTTGATAAGAGAATAACATTATAACATGATATAAAGCTCAAAAAGTGCAATTTTCATAATATCCCCCACCTTTAAGGAGAAAAACACTACAAAAAGTGGTAAAAATAAAACTTCCCCATCTTCTATTGTTTTACTTTAACAAAGGTATGATCCTGTTAAGAAAGAATACATCAAGTCCCATAATTTCATTTGTTTTACCCTCCATGGGATTATAAGAGATTATTGGTGGTAATACAGATACAATTTTAGCCTTTCGTTCAGTAGCTCATTCTCTGTGAACCCACTCTGTTAAAATTAAAGTTTAACTAAACTGCAGTAAAAAATAGCTGCTTTCTGTTGCTTTTCTGCTCCAATATATCTGAAACAGAAGGAAAATATTTATGAGCAACATAAAAATGAAACAACTCATGACCCTGAGAGTTCTTTGGGTCCAAAGTTTATCTGAAAACAAGCCTCTGTGGACACACAGCTATGAATAAAAAATGAAACACTTCCTGTTTCCAGTTTTATATAGTTTTATTGATCAAACTACCCCATAAAACAACTCTGCCCAAACTTTTCTGACACAGGAAAAATCCCAGTTTGATTATTTTTGTTTTGACAGAAACAGTTATCTTAATATTGGAATCCTAAAATATTGTCTTTATTAATTTATTTGAGGTAAACCCAGCTGAGATCAGAGATGAGACCAGGACCTGAAGGGTTCTTGGTCTGTAGGAGGAAACCAGAGTACCTGAGGAAAACCCCACAAGAAGACCTTAGGTTCCAACTGGGAATCAAACCCAGAACCTTCTTCCCAATAATCCACCTGCTTTTTCTTATCAGTTTCATCCTTCATTCTTTAACCTCTCTCTGACTTTGTAATTTAAAGGTGCGTGAAAAGCCTCGGGGTCTTACGAGGTGCTGTCGCTGACGTCACTCTCCACGTAGATCATCTCGGTCAGAGCCAGGTGCATGAGGCTCTGCTCGTTCAGCAGGTCCCCGATCATCCTCACCGCCTCGGCGCTCAGACCGCCCTCACCTCTCAGGTAGTCCTGGAAAACAAGACGACACCGTCACGTCATGTCGGCTCTTTCTGGGTTCTGGTCTCATGTTCTGTGAACGAAGGAGACGTTTGGTTTTCTGTAAAACTGCACTTTAGATMAAGGCAATATTATTAGTGTTTAAAATATTATCTTGTATAATACATGCTGTAAAAATCACAATAGTTTGATGAGAATATAAGAATATGATGTATTTTTATGGTTTTTATAAATAAGTTTTCAGAATAAACACGTTTGATTTAAGACTGAGCTGRTCTCTGACATTAACACTGTTTTATATTTCAGTTTGTTTGTTACCTTCACAGACAGATGATCATATTTCTCCAACATGGCTTTGCAGCCGTGAACAATAACCTCATCTTTGACCTGCAGGAAAGTAAAACATTTAGTTCAATCCATCAGACAGAAGCTGTGACTCGGTGGTTTGAGGGACATTCACCTTCTTCAGAGCTCGGTTCAGCAGGTCRGTGGCTGACTTCCCCCTCTCGCTCCTGGGCAGTTTGTACTTCAGGACGTCAGGGTTTGAGGTCACGGCGAACGTTCTTTCCCGCAGCCCGTGAATCAGATAGTAAGTGTTCATGTCGTACATGATGAACGGATTCATTTTGATGCCAAAGTGATCGATGAACCAGCGAACGATGCTGTTGAAAGATGAGCTCATGAGGTTTTAGTTGGTGTGAATTTATCCAGTAAGAATTGAACGTTTTACTGTCTGTTTACGCTCTGAGATTTACTGTAAATTTCGATCATGTGAAATTTTTGTGAACTTTTTCCTAAACAGTGTTAATCAGGAGTTTAGTTCTTATTAATGCATTTGAATTTTCAGCACTAAAAGTAAACCTAATCAAACTTTGAACTCACTGATGATAACTGGGGATCCTCATGGCTCCCAGTTCAGCGTACCAGCCCTCCTCTTCATTCCTGTAGGTCTCCACCCGGCCTCCAACACGACCGCTGGCCTCGATGATGGAGACCTTTTCCCAAACACAAATAAATAAAACTCAGTGATGGAGAGTCGGACTGGAAGATCAGGATGTTAGTTCWGTACTGTGAAGGTTAAAGTTTAAAGCTTCACATCTTGTTGTCACACTAAAACGTTGCCTCGCCTCTTGTAGACCCAGTTTGTACCTTGTGTCCTGCGTCCTGCAGTAACTTGGCCGCAGTGAGCCCAGCGGCGCCGGCTCCGACCACAGCCACATGATGAGACTTGTTGATGTGAGGAAGACCAGTCCTCAGGGTCTGCAGCAGCTCAGAGTAGTCTGTGTCGTTCAGACAGTCGGACAGCTTCTCCTTCAGGCTGTGAGCAGCTGTGCTCTGCAGACTGAGCAYCACGCCGACACAAACTGCAGGAAACATGCAAATAAATGTTTGAAACTTTATTTTGAAATAATAAAGGACAAATGTAAATTAAACCCTSCTGTTCAACACTTTTCTGACTCCTCCCTCCACAGTTTGTACGCTGAAAACCTTTCATCACTTCTTCAGATTGAAAACCAAATGTGACAACATTTTTTTACATTTTTCTCTCATAAAAAACAAACATTTTTTTAAAAAAACTCACATAAACTCCACATCAGSCTCTGTAGCTCCATCTGATTTACTGATTTTCTCTTGATTTCTAAGAAAAAAACAACAAAAAATGAGTTTAAGCAGAAAACTCCAAACAAAGAATATTAACTCTTTCATAATGTAGGAGARTGTAAGAAATTATAAAAAGAATTGAATTGGTTTTGATTTTGTGTTCAGTGCTCTGATTGTGTTTTTATCTATAATTTATATGTGTTATAAAGTAGAATTTATGTTTGTTTAATTTTATGTTTAATTCTTATTTTCATTAGAAAAGTTTATAAATTAAGAAACATCTGCAAATACTAAATGTTTACAGACTTTATTTGAATATTTCTGTGATTCTAAACCTGAATTTCTAATGTTTTTATTTGAGCTCACTGATGCTGCTGCTTCCTGATGTTCAGGATCTGATTTTTTWAATTTAGTTTTAACTGTAAAGTTTWAAATTCTGCTWATGTGTTGGATTAAAATGATTTAAAATCTGTAAGATAAAATATTTTCTGCAGTGAGGWGATGGTTTCCTACCTTCAGAGGAGCTCCAGGTTCTCCTGATGTTTCTCTTCTAAACTCCAGCTGTTTGTAACCCTGGAGTTTATCTGTCAGCTGACAGAGCAGAGGAGGCGTCTCTGATGAAGAGAAATAAAAAAACGTTCTAGGTTTGCTTTTAGTTTCGTTTTCCATGAGGTCATCATCAGCTGAGAGACTCGAGACTCTGAAGAGAAGGTGTTGAAATCCATCCTGATGTTCTCTGCAGAGAAACCTAGTTCATTCATTCATTCATTCATTCATTCATTCATTCATTCATTCATTCATTCATTCACCCCTGTCTGCATGTGTTCACTGCCTCACACAGATGAATCGTGTCCAGTTAATGGAGTTCTCCTCTCAGTCGGTCACACCACCTCCTTCTGTCTGATTTGTTGAGTTGTTCACCTGCTGCCTGGTTTGGTTCATTCAAACATCTCTTACCTTCACTCCTTCATAATTATCTACAAACTCACAAACCGAAACACAATGAATTAAGAATAAAAAACAACTTTCAGTTTCAGCTCCTCCATTGTGGTTCACACGTTCTGCACATTGGGGAAGGATGAAGTTTTTTGGGGTTTTTTTTGTTAAATGTTTAAAACATTTCATTCAATGAGCTCAACAACAATAAAACATTTATTTTAATGATCATGTAAAATGACAAAATAAACATCTCTTGAAAATTTCAGTTTTATTTTTTATTTCATAAAAACAACATGATTAAGTTCTGTACAGATCAGTCAGACAAAATGATAAAAACAACAATAAAAGCAAAGTAAGAATAAATATTTAAATGACTGTTAAGACCTCTACATAAAACCCACCAGCTTTAACAACAGACAGGTGTTGAYCAGATTTTAATGTCTCACTGGTTTGTATAAAAAGAGGTGAACTGATCCACAGATCTGGAGCTGGAAAACAACAGAAACCCGATCATCTCTTTGTTTCAGTTTGGATCAGATCATTTCAGAGAACGGTTTCGTGGACGAGAGCGCTCTTTAGATGTTCAGGAAATGGCACGTCGAGGCCAAAATCAAGCAGAAAGATAACATTTATCTTGGTTTCCACCTGTTAAAACGTGCTGCGCTCTGGACCGTTTGTAAAACAGAAAGTTACATCGACTCTTAAATGATTTATCCTCTCTGCTGTAACACAAACTGATTTTCAGCAGACGCAACAGACGTTGGTTTATTAAAACTATTTAAAAATATACTTTCAGTTTCTGCTCTACCTCTATGGTTTTCACTTCATTAAAGAACAAATCTTTGATTTCTCAATTACTGAACAAAAAACTGTTTCACAATCAGCAAAATCCCTGATTTTCTAATTCATGACGAAAATTCCCTCTAACTAATTAAAATGATGTGTTATAATAAACAAGACGTATAATAGTAACTTCTTTAAAAGAAAGTATGCAAAGTGCTTCATGTTTACTCACCTTGGTTCAGTAAATTCAACAGTTTATTTCTTAGAGAACCTGTGTGTAAAAATACTTTTACTTTTACAATTACAATTTTTGTGGCAAGTTTTATTACTTTTATTTAAGTATTTTTCTCATCAGTGACATTTATTTTTACCAAAGTCATTTTCTGTTAAGGTATTTTTACTTTTACTTAGTTATTTTTAAATACTTTATAAACCTCTGGTTTTAATTCTGCTCCACACAGAACATCATGTTGGTCAGTTTGTAGTGAGATCAGTTAAATCTGCTCCAGTTTAGTGAACAAATGTATGAAAAGTTACAGCCATGATGATGATGATGATGATGATGTACTTTATTTGCAGACTCATGGTCCATACAAGTACCTCCTGTATCTTTGATCTTATAGTGATAAGACTAATTTCTGTTTTAATTTGTCGTATACAGTATGAGTTGTTGATGCAGAGAAACATTTGTCAACATGAACATCTAAACCTGATGTTAGCTTCAGAACTGTTTATTTTCCCACAGGTTTTAAACACACCCATGTTCTCATGTTTCTCATGTTTAACATGCTTCAACTGAATCATCCTCAAACTGCAGAACAGGATCTGCATCTGTTTCAGTAGTTTTTCTGTAGTATTTATTTCACATTGACACAGTTGTACACAGTACTTTTCAGTGTTTTCTAAGAGGACATGTTGAAACACTGTTTCTATGCAGGAACTACCAGGTAGAGCTCAGTGTTTGTTAGCTATGCTCAGCCAAAGACACGAGATGAGGAAGATGAGGTTTCATGTTTAGTTGAAGTTAAACATTAAATTTCAAAGTTAAATATTACAGGCACTTTMAGGGCTTCCATGACGATCACCGGCCCTCGGTGAAAATGAATTGGTCTAAGACATTTAAAAAAGTTCCTTTCATAAACCAACACTCAATAAAGCATAATAGTTTTATTTAAAGGGATCCATGATTAGTTGTAACATTAAACTTTATTTAATAAACATTTATTTTAAATGCAAAATAAAGACTGTAAAAATACTGTAGGCTGTTTAGTTTTGTAATTTTTTTAAAATATATTTTAACACGGACGGAGCCATTTTATTTCCACACAAAGCATTCTGGGTAAATGATGACGTGGATAGGTGCTCGGTGCGAGGCTGCTAGCGAGCTATATCCACCCTGAAGGTTAATCTTGGACAATATCTGATGATCGACTCTTTTAAATGAAACCAGAGAGCGTTGACAGAGAGGAGAAGGTAGAAATGACTCAGCCTGGAACTGAAAATATGGATGGAGGACAACAGAGCTGCTTCATGGAAGAAGAACCTCAGCTTAGCCTGTTAGCCTTTGTGCTAGCACTGATGCTATGTTGCCTTACATGTATTAGCTCAGCGCTAGCGCAACAAACAAGCTAAACTGAGGTCCTCCATCTATATTTTCAGTTACAGGCTGAGTCATTTTTGTGTTCCCCTCTCTGTCTTGGAGGACCTCAGTGACGAGACGAGAATGTGTAACGCTGAGCTAATACATATATATGGTGATAGCATCAGGGCTAACACTAAAGCTAACAAGCTAAACTGAGGTTCTTCTTCCATGAAGCAGCTCTGTTGTCCTCCATCCATATTTTCAGTTACAGGCTGAGTCATTTCTACCTTCTCCTCTCTGTCAACGCTCTCTGGTTTCATTTAAAAGAGTCGATCATCAGATATTGTCCAAGATTAACCTTCAGGGTGGATATAGCTCGCTAGCAGCCTCGCACCGAGGACCTATCCACGTCATCATTTACCCAGAATGCTTTGTGTGGAAATAAAATGGCCCTGTCCGTGTAATACATTTTTAAACTTTTAGTTTAAGAATTATAAAAACTAAACAGCCTACGGTATTTTTACAGTCTTTATTTTACAGTTAAAATATGTTTATCATATAAAGTCTAATGTTACAACTAATCTGGGATCCCTTTAAACCAGTTAATACTAACACACTGGTTTTAGAGCTCATTTTTATCTTGACATTCATCCAGCAGCTTTAAAGCCTTCTTGTTGATGTTCACAGCTGCTCTGATGGCAGACTTCATGGACGTCTCGATCCAGGCYTGAGGGAAGGCTGTGTGCTCTCCAGCGAAGTGAATCCTSKCCTCAGGTCTGAAGAGCTCCTGGGCGTACTCCAGGTGTTGGTACGGGGTGAACAAGGCGAAGGCCCCCAGGCTGTAAGGGTCCAGACTCCACTTCTTCACCAGCACACCTGTACACAGAGACCTGARGTGATCTCCGTGGATCTTAGACAGATCTCTGAGAGCCACCTCCTTCAGTTCTTCATCGCTGGCCCCCAGGAAGAGGAGGGAGTCATCGGACCAGGTGTAGGAGGCCAGGAGGACGCCYATGGTSTCGTTCTCTGGGAAATCGTGACTTGGATAGTAGATGAAGCGAGTTGGCCCGTCTGTGATGCTCTTCCCTCCGTAGATCCCATCTTTCTCCCAGAACCTTTCACTGAAAGTCAGGAGGATTTTGGTGGAGCTGTCGTAGTGGACCCCCCTCAGGGCCTCCATCTTCTGGGAGGAGAGCGGAGGATCAAAGTCGATGTAAAGYGCTGCTTTGGCRGTGGTCGTTACCAGGACCACGTCTGCGTCGATGTGGCGGAGGCGAGGGTTTGGATCAGTCTGGTACCACACGGTGACCCCTTTATGTGTCTGAGTGATACCATGGACCCTGGAGTTCAGCAGGAGAGGACCCTCAAGAACTGAGAGGAAGGCTGTGGGGAGGAGGTCTGACCCACCCGTCACCTCGTAGTACCTGAAGAACAAGACAAACTGCTGTTGGAACTTTTTAGAATATTGGTTTAAACAAAGTTAGTTTGAGTTAATGAAGAACTAATCGTCAAGATAAAACAATAAAAAGATTCAGCTTCATGAGACCGAAYCAGCTGATTTTGTCTTTATGTCATTTTCTTTAAAAAACAGTTGATTTTATTTCTCTCCTCTGTCATTAAACTATAGATAAAAAGTGTTTCTGATGTGGTRTTACGTGACGTTGTCGCTGATGTCCGTCTGGTCGTAGATCATCTCGCTCAGAGCCGTGTACATCATGCTCTGCTCGTTCAGAAGCTCTCCGATCATCCTGATGGCTTCAGGACTCAGACCTCCTTCTTCTGTCAGATATTCCTGGTGAGCAAACACATGAAACGTGTTGTGTTCTTACAGACATGATGGTGAAACGTTTGACTCATCAGCTGGAGTTTCTCTGACACGGAATGTTAGATAACTTCTTAAAGATTTTTTTTATTTGACCTTTATTTATACAGGTCGTCTCTTTGAGATCCAGAATCTCATTTCTAAGAGAAACGTGTTATAAGACAAAAATTTCAAACACACAGTTACACAAAAACGAGCAAAAACATGGACTCAAATTTTTTTCTTAAAGCTCAAGAGTTCCTCATCGTTATAGCTGAACTTCCTCTAAATACTGATCTGATTTCAATTCAAATATCAGTGGAAGTYTAAGAAGGACCCAGAAGAAACTAAATTATTTAATTTTTCTGTCCCACATTCAACTCAGGCAACTAGATACTGCTGTACCATATATGACCCCTGTACATATTGCTGGGCCTGATGGATAGAGCTTCATCAGAGCTAAATAACAAGAAATCTGAAGCTCCTATGTTGAACAGTTTCTGAGTTATAAGCGTTTTTCTATGTCCAGACACCTCCTTTTTAGATGGAGCCCCCTCCTCAAATGTGGGGTCTATCATAAAACCGTTGGCTGGTGCAGTGTAGGTCAAACAAAACACATCAGCTCTTATAAACTTTTTTCCTCCAGTGTTTAAGTTTTCCTCCGTTTTAAGTTTAAACATTCTAAAWGTCCCAGCTACTGTTTAGTCTACCTGTAATTCTGTTCTTTTATTCAAACCAATGAGTTTTACCTGCACAGAATAATGGTCATATTTTTTCAGAGCAGCACAGCAGCCGTGAGCTACCACTTCATCTTTCACCTACAAAGAAACAGAAACATTTGCTTCAGTCCTTTAGATCAGAGGTTCTTAACGTTTTTGACCTCGGGGCCCAATTTATTGAACATAAAGTGACACGAGGCCCAGTCACACATTACCAATG